CCCCAGCCCACCCCCTGAAGCCCTGTTAGGAAGCTCTTTTGCACACTTCAATCCCGAAGTGGATCCCCTCCGCTTTGCTCCAGAAGTTCCAACATTTCATGTTTTAAATGAAAGTGTGTGGTCCCTTTTGAATTGAGCTTTATGTAGGAAGAAAGACGTGAATCTAAATTCACTGTTCTGAGGGTGCATATCTCATTTTGTCAGCACCATTTGCTGAGTCGCCTGATTTTTCCACTGTGTGTGTGCAACAATTTCAAGAGCAGTGATTTTGACTATATGGTATTTTTTCAGTTACCTAAGATCAGAGTTTAGCTGTCTGGACACAGTATATTCATAGAAGATTCTTAGTACATCTCTGATGCTAGGAAATAGAATCTTAATTCTCTGATTCATACAACCAGATATAAAGCAAATCCATTTCATTAGTAAGTATTGTATTCTGTTATTGGCACGACCATATATATGCATGTCTGCCAGGGCTAATGATAATTATATTAAGCTCTTAAAAATCCATCAAACCTGCTATATTCACCTTTATAGAATTGAGAAATAAACAAAATATAACCTCAGAATATGGCTAGTTGAGATTAAAACAGTAGTGTATGGCCATTAAAACAATTGGTAAATATTGCTTTGAAGTGTGTCTACAATAGATTTAAAAACATGCTTATTAATTCTCAAATGCAAAGTCACAAAGAGAAAGAGGTAACTGCAGGCCTTCAGACAACGTGTGGCAGACAAGCTGTGGTCCAACTGAGCTCTATTGCAAGGCAGACTTGAAAGAATGGTTTTGAACTCAACAACCACTTTTAACCTAAATCAAAAGGATGGTATTCCTCTTCCATGAGGACTAGACATTGAGGAGTAAAGAAAGAAACTGGAATTGCTGCTTCCAACTGTGACCTCATCCATGCCTTGATTTAAAACTTGTGAAATCACTGAGTATATTATCAACATGTTTGATGTCCTTCTTAGAGCCAGTTACACAATAAATGCATTCAGTTTGATGTGTTAAAAATAGGCTAACAGGGCAAACCAAAGTACTGACAAAATAATTGCATCTACCATTAGAAAAGCTCATAATTATCTAGAAAGCACTGGACAAACAAATGAGATCACCACTGCCCCTTGGCTTCTATATTAAAAAAAAATATGAGAGTTCTCTGTTAATGTCAGATCATCAGAGTGCAGCTGGCTATCTCCACTGAGCAAGTGGTAGTCTGGTAAGATTAGCTTCTTCATATTGCAGCTCAGCAATACTGTTGTTTATTTTAGAAACTGAGTTGCTCACATCCAAATGGCATGGGGATCTTTCTAGTGTACCTATTGCCTCTCAGAATGTTTGTTATTTATGAGTTAGGGTCCAGAGCACACCATCAATTTGACTTCCTTTGAAAAGAAGTGATTATAATTCACACAAAAAGAACTTTTTCAGAGAAGAACATATGAATCAAACTTATTTTTCATAGAGATATATGATCTTGATAAACCTGTGTCAGTATAATACGATTTATGTTTGATTTGTAACTATTTTTGGAGTATCATTTTTATAATAAATTGGGATTTCAAACTCCAGCCTGTTGATTTAGACATACATCCCTCGTTATGATTCCTAGACTTAGCAAATAAACATACTGGATTCCCAGCTGCATTTGACTTTCAAATAATTTTTCAGTGTTTCCCAAATTATTTCAGTGTTCCCCATGCAATCTTTAGGCCATACTTGTGCTAAGCAGTTTGTTTGTTAGATGTTAGCTGTGCTTTATACATCCTTGGGCATTCTTTGTTTATTTCCTGGCAATCCTGACATTATTAGTGGTAAACTTTTGGTCGGCTCACCTATTCTATAATTTGTCTGTCCTGTGAGATACTAACTTTAGTTACAGGCATTAAAGTTGATTTGCAAATCAACTGAACTAAAGCAGAATATATTATGACATTGGGAGGGCATTTTTTTGCTACCGAAATGAATGTAATAAATAACATTATTTTGTGAGAATAGCATTTCAGTACAGCAAATTGCTTATTAGGTTCAGCTATGTTGGCCTGACATGAACTTTAATGAAGTATTTAGATATTGAGGAACTTCCTTTGGTAAGAAGCAATTTTAAACTTTTCTTCAAACTTAATAATACAGTATTGCCTTCAAGAACTATGCTTAATGCTGGGTGGTGGTGGCACATGCCTTTAATCCCAGCACTTGGGAGGCAGAGGCAGGCAGATCTCTGTTGCTGGAGGGCTTCTCTCCAGGTTCCCCAAGCCCCGCAGTCCCACAATCCACTTATAAAATAATCACTCAGACGCTTATATCACTTATAAACTGTATGGCCGTGGCAGGCTTTCTGCTAACTGTCCTTTTATCTTAAATTAACCCATTTTTATAAATCTATACTTTGCCACGTGGCTGGTGGCTTAACGGCGTCTTTACAGGTTACCTCTCCTGGCCGTGGCTGCAGTGTCTCTCCCCTCAGCCTTCCGCTTCCCAGCATTCTCCTCTCTCCTTGTCCCACCTACTTCCTGCCTCGTCACTGGCCACCAGTGTTTTATTTATATAGAACAATATCCACAGCAGATCTCTGTGAGCTCAAGGCCAGCCTGGGCTACAGAGTGAGTTCCAGGAAAGACACAAAACTACATATACAGAGAAACTCTGTCTCAAAAAAAAAAAAAAAAAAAAAAAAAAAAAAAAAACACCAAAAAAAAAAAAAAAAAAGAACTCTGCTTATTTACAAGCCTAGTGTCTGAAAAACACTAAACCTTCATGCTGTTTGTTGTGGTTTCAAATAAAACAACAGACTTTATCCTTGGAAAGAAGAGTAGTCATTGAAGTACATGTCCACGTGGGTTTGTCTTTGCAACTTAGAATGCTCTTAGAATGTAAAATATCAAGACCTACAAAGTTTTTCACATTTTAAAAATGATTATTTCTATGCTGTTTTGTATTGGTGAGTTTCTTATGGCTATATCTGATATTCGAATTTGTGTACTTTTCAAGAAATGAACTTTATTAAGTCATATTATTGGAGGTAAGGATTCTAATACAGGTTCAGTTATGGTGTTTTGTGGTGGCCCCTTGTCTGTATCACATTAGATCAGGTGTGAAGATAAAATAGAAACTTACAGAGTGAGGTATAAAGCCAGCTTATGTAGGGCAGGGATTGAAGACTTGCCCTTTTGAAACAACCTGATCTTTTAAGAACTAACTCAGGACATAGCCCAGTGCTCTGAGTACATTAACTTCAATGTCCTCATGGTACCAGCACTTCCCAACATGACCGATGAGAAGAAAAGTATTTGCCAGTGTAGTCTCCTTAAAATGTAAGGTTAAATTCTTTTACAAAGGATTATTTGTATTTTTAAAGAAGAAACAAATTGTGCCATGAAGTCATACATATAAAAGCTGTTCATAGTTTAACGTGATTCTCTAATACCTTCTAAATGCATACGAATAGATTATTTTTCAGGAGTTTCCTGTATCAATGTTCTCTGGGATGACAATATTTGCTTCTAATTATCTTTAATTATTATAAAGGGAAATGAATCAAGTAAATATCTCATAACCATTTCTTTAGTAGAAAAACTTTTTAATTATAATGACTTTCAGGAGAGAATGTAACTATGGTTACACTGAACAGAATTAGATACTTTATTTTTATCATCTACTGAAACAAAAAGTAGGTACTTTGAAGATATTTCAGATGACAGAAATGTAGGAACCAAACTTCCATCCATTAAAAACAAAACAGAACCAAAAGCAACTAATTCAAGTCATTGTTAAATCATTGACAACTACATGATTTAAACACGAGTACAGAGATTTCTGTGATTTTGTGTGAACCATAACAGACAACATTTGTTTATCTTGCAGATGAAATGAATGATCATCAAAGCACACTGTCCTACATCCTGATCAATCCATCTCCAGATACCAGGCTTGAGCTAAATGATGTTGTGTAAGTTGACTTCATATAGCGGATTAGGGATATATATATTACTAATCTACCTTCTATTTTATTGACCATTATAGTCTCTTATTTGTTTGTGTGATGACCATGCTTGGGAAAAGTGATTTTTGGTGAGCATATGCATCCCTCTGGTTCTCCATGTAGTACTTTAAAATGTAGAATTGTTGAAAAGAAGGCTTGTTAAGTGAGGAAATAGCAGCAGACATTCTCTATTCTGTGGGCAAATACACACTTTCAAAGCAAGAGAAAATCTTACTCTATGGAGAGCAGGTCAGAGAAAAAGTGAAGTAACCAACATATATGTCTCTAAAGATCTTTAAATATCCATTAGCAAAATTAAAATACCGTGGAATACATTAGGAAAAGGCTAGAAAGAAGAACCACATCACTAAAATAGTTCTCACCCTTCCTAATGCTGCAACCCTTTAATACAGTTCCACATGTTGTGGTGACCCCCCTGACCATAAAATTTATTTTATTGCTACTTCATAACTGTAATTTTGCTACTGTTATGAATCATAATGTAAATATCTTATATGTGACCCCCCAAAGGGGTTGCAATCCACAGGTTGAGAACTGCTGCCCTAAAAGGATGGAGTGTATGTATACAATAGTTATGACACTATCCTAAAAATGAGATACAGAAATTAATATGACAGTTTCCTTTACTTCCACGTGCTTATACTTAATTAACAAAATTATAGTTGATCACAAGTAAATGGAAAGAATTCACAATGACTTATGTCATATAAGGAATTTAATCTTTGATTAAGTTAGGTGGTACTTCATTAATTTCAAGAAGAAAGATATTACTTCAAAATGGAATCAATACCAAAAATGGTGGGAGATATTAACTACCTTCTGAAATTTAAATAGGATTTGTTTTGCCGAATGTGGGGAGAGGGGGCGCATTCCAGAACTGGAATAATGATAAAAGAAAATCTTCTGCATAGGAAAGACAAGAAGTATTTTAGGAAATAATTGGTCAATATAACAATGGAAATCAAATTAGATTTGACTCTAAGAAGGGACTTAGGTAACAAAGTAAAAGGTTCAAATGTGACTTTATTATAGGTTGCTTATCCACACCTGAGAAAGAAAGTGTCAATAGTTTAGAAATGAAACTTTTACAGTTGATAGTGTGAGCATAGAAAAGAAATTCTTATGAAAATCTGCTCTTCAGGTCATGAGTGGTCCTGTTCTGGGTCTGCTTGGAGGCTCAAAGATGGTGGTTACCATTGTTACCATTCACCGTGGCTGGGAAATAGAAGAGGCAGGAACTTGAATAATTTGTCATTGCCTACGGATTGAGCAGCACAAAGCGAGGAATGCTTGTGTTCACCCCACTTTTTCCTTTTTATATGTTTAGGATTCCATCACAGGGAATAGATCTTCCAACCTCAGTAAATCTAGTGAACATAATCCCCAGTAGAAAAGCTTAGATACCATCGGTCAGTTGACTGTAGATCTATCTGGTTGAAAATTGAAATTGACATTCACAGAATGTAATTGACTTGTTATGTCCTTGACATTTATCATTTCTGTTGAGACTATCCAAATTCTCTTCCTCTAACTATTTTGAAGTATACAATGAATTGTTACTTTACTATGCCATAACATTTTAAAAGTTACTTCTATCCAACTGTATTCATTTACCATATTTTAAAAGTTCTTCTATTCAATATATTCATTTACCAATTAACCGTTTTTCCTTGTACCCCATTCTCCACACTTCCTAATGATCTAATAGCTAACACTCTACTCTTTATATCTCAGAAATTAACATTTTTGTTTAAACATATAAATGAGAACACATGGTGTTTATCTTTCTATGTCTAACTCCTTTTACGTTGTTCTCTAGTTTCATCCACATGGCTTCAAATAATATCACATTATTAGATGGAAGCCTTTGTTATTAGTGATATTTCAACAAACATGAAAGTGTGGGTAGTTCTGTTCAGATAAGAGAAATATTGTTGTATGATATTCGATCACACCGTGAACCCCAAGTTTGCATTTGAGTTAATTAAAGAAAATCAACCTTTGCTCAGGAGGCAGAGCTAGCAATTACCTGACAGAAAGTAATCAAAGAGAGTCAGAGGGAGTCTGGAAGATGGATAGAGAGATGCACAGGAAGTAGTAGGAAGGGAATTTGAGAGTGGAGGTCTTTCTGTGATGCCTGCAAAAAGGGAAGCTCAGCTTGTTGCTCCTCAAATGCTCTGAGCTAGCAGGTTTTCTCCCCAGCCTTTGACTCCTGAGTCTTATTGACAAATAGAACAATAGAGATCTACTTAAAAACTATATGTGTTGTCAGGAACAGAAAGCAGACCAAACAGAATATAAAAGTTATACATGCCATTACCAGAGAATCAGTGTCATTACCAGAGAAGTGGGCCGGTACCCGAAAAACCACAATTACTGCCAGAAACGGCAGTAATTTTTACTGCTTTTACACTTGTTTCGTCTTCTAAAGTACAGTCTATCTTGGAGAAGTTTCCATATGTTGAGAAGAACGTATATTCAGCGGTTGCTGGAGTAAATGTTCTGTAAATGTCAATTAGCTCAATTTAATTCATGGTATAATGAACCATATAATTCTTATTGAGTTATTTACTTAATTTTCTTTATATACCTTGTAGTAGATTGCGGGATCACACTGCTTTTCTTTCTAGTTCTATAAAAATAATTTCTGTATTGTTTTAATTATGGCTAAACTATTTAAAATTTGCATTAATAGTAAACGAGTATTTCTCTTTTTCTACATCTCCAGCAATATTTGATCTCTGATCTTTTGTATAATAGCCATTCTAAAAGATGTTAGACAATAATCACTCTGTTTTGATTTGTATTCATTTAATGATTGGATGTTGTTATAGTTTTTTGTTCTTTTCAGTAATTTCTATGACAACTGTTCTTTCAGGTCATTTGTGGAATTTTAATTGCATTAATACTTTGGGGATTTTGCTGTTGTTAAACTGGTTGAACTCCCCATGTATTCTAGATATAATATTACTTATTGAATCAATATTTCAGAAACCATCTCCCACTTTGTGGTTTACACTTTGTTGATCATTCTTTAGCTGGCCAAGCTTTTGGCCTTGGTATAATGCCATTTGCCAATTTTTCTTTTTCTTGTTGTGTGTTTTGGGTTCTGTTATCCTGTAAGAATCAATTTAATTATGCTGTATGTCTTTGTAGTATAATAGAAGGCACATTTAAATAATTTTACTGGAATAAAATAAGCATAAAATTTATACCTTTCAATATAGAAGTTACTGTCTTTAAGTATTTCCCATGGCTATGAAGAAATTGTCATGATTCAATTTTGGAACATTTCATCCCTCATTAAGGAAATCCTGCATCACAGATGGTTTAAGATAGCCATCTCCATCATCTATCTCCCTGCTCTTAGTTTTGTACTTACTTATTAGCCTGCATTCTATCATTACAGGTTTTCTTTTACTAGTAAATTTGCAAGTAAATAATATCACCTAATATTTATCCTTTTGTTATTTTATTTCTTCTTTGAAAAAATATAATAAAGGATCAATCATGTGGCAGTACCATAATGTTTTAATTTCCAAATATTATTTAATGCAGATAGGCCACATTTTATTGTTGCATCATTGTTCTTTAACATTTCTTTCTGATTTTTGACTCTTGGGATATGGTATTATGACCTTTTAATAGATGCATGTTTTCACTTCTCTTAAGGATATACTTGGCAGTAAAATTGCTGGGTACATGGTGATATTATCTTTATCATTTTGAGGATAAACTAAACTTTTTAATAAACCTGTTGTATAAGATTTCCTCTCTAGTAGATAGTGTAACAATATCCTAGTCAACATTTGTTGTTTTGGTGTGTAATAGCCTTCTATAATATTTTTAAATAATTTTATATTGTTCTTCAAAATTTAAAATACAATAAATAGTCATCACATCCTCCCTACTATTACCCTCCAACTCCTCTTGGAACCATCCGACCTGTATCTCTTCTGCCTTTGTGTTCTCTTTTATTATTACTCACACTTTTAGCTCCAAGTCTAATTAGAGTTTAGTATATACACATGGTTGTGGGAACCATCCAGTAGTATGTACCACCTAGCAGTGCATAGACAACGTACTATTGGCTGCATTCCCAAAGACAAGTGGCTCTCAGTAGCTCAGCAGCCATCAACTGCCAATAGTTCTTCAGCTATTGGTGAGGTCTCTGGGCTGTGACATAACTCCCTTGACTTCTGCCTGCTGAAAAAACAGAAACTCTTTGACCATGCTCAACAATAACAAAACTATGTGGATATAAACATAAACATTTAGAAGGCAGTTTCACAACCATTTTGTATGAAACATTATATCACTCAGTTCTCATCTAACACCAACAATCTCCCCAATACTTGACCAGCCTTATTTTTTTTACTTATTTATTTATTTTGGTTTTTTCAAGACAGGGTTTCTCTGTGTAGCTTTTGGCTGTCCTTGAACTTACTCTGTAGACCAGGCTGGCCTTGAACTCATAGAACTCCACCTGCCTCTGCCTCCCAAGTACTGGAATTAAAGGCATGCATCACCACCACCTGGCTTGACCAGCTTTATAGTACCAGCTGTGAAATCCCTCCTGCAGAGCAGACCTCAAATCAAACAAAAAGGTGATTGGTTAATAGAGTTACTATGCTACTTTTGTAGCAGGAGCACAGCTTTCCTGGTACACTGGTATTGTAGCATATGGGGTCCAGTACTGGGTATGCTAAAGCAAAGTGTGTGGTATCTTCAGCAATAATCTTTCTATCTAGTTAAGCTGAGCAATAATAATGCTCCCAAAAGACATGCATAATGAAACAAAAACTTTAGAGCCAGGCATGAATTACTTTTCTAGAAGTTATTGAAGAGGAGGGCCTCAGTGGTGGTCAAAACTGCAAAAGCTATTGCCATTTTCCTTGGAAGCTCATTCTAGATATTTGTCAAGACGTGTCCTAAAGGGCTTCCTGTTTTCTGCTACTAGAGTTATAGTTGGGTTTACAGATAAATCCTTCACCTGTTTGGAAATGATTGTTGTGTGTGGTTAAAAAACATAGGGATATAATTTTGAGGTTTTGTTCAGTTTTCACAAAACCATTTGTTGAGGAGATTATCCTATCTCCTCTTCAAGTTCTTGATCCTCTGTTGCAAATTCAGCCAACTGAATGATGACTAAATACATGTGCTTGTTTATATGTTAGTACCATGCTGTGTTGGTTACTCTACAGCACTGTAGTATAGTTTACTCTACAAGATGTAAGCCTTGTAATTGTTCTACTTTTTCCCACTTTGCTTAGGATTACATTATTACCTCGAGTCTCACTGAAAAGTCTAAAATCCATAAGGATATGTGATGCTAAAGTTTAAAAGACTAACCTGTTCTGTACAGAGATGTGTATATAGAGAAAAAAAATAGTCGATGTCAAACTGTGGGGTAGTGTTCAGTTTTAGGGTAAGATAAAAAACATTTCACAAAAAGTTACTAGAAAAGTATAATAGAAAGAATAACGTTATCCCTATCTCAAACTTGGAAAAGATTCCTAAGTTAAACCTAACATTATCAAATACAATATATTTTACTGTAAGAAAATAGGAGATTTTTGTAATCAGGTTAGCATAATTTTAAGTTACTAGAGTTCCCACAGTCCTGTCAGAACTTATAGCTAATGATGTTGAATTTATAGAGGACAGAAATCTGTGGAAGAATGTTATAACACACCTGGCTCTGTCTTTAAGACATCATTTGGATTACCACTGTAAGAAAATTTAGTAACTCTTCTCTACCATCTGTACTTGTACATCTTCTTTCCTAGAAACCCATTTTTAAAGAAGGAACTTTAGAAATTTCTAATCTACCTCATATCTTAATTTGAATATTCTTTTCTAAATAATCATAACTGACCGTTCTGTTGGTTTTCTTAGTTAGGCTTACTTTATTTGTATTTTATAATGAATTTTAAGTTTCTTATGACTGCTACAACAGTTGTGCATGGTTGTCTGTTCAACATTGATATGTTAATCTCTTGAGTGTATGAACATGTTTTTCCATCATATATATGTATACATATATACATATATATACATACACATATATATGTTTATTGTTTCAAATGAATTATGAAACTTTCTAGCCTAGAGCCACATTTATTTACAGTGCATACAGTAAATCAAGCATGCTTGCAAGAAATTTCCTGCTCTTTGAACACTTTTATTTTTATTGAATTTAAGCAAAAACATCAATTTAAGTGCCATGAAAATATGGTCCTAACATTATTCCTGTGATTGTATTTGTGGCATTGACAGAAGGCTTAGCAGAACTCAAGCTATGGCACATTGTCATACTTACTACAACACGTAGCAGACCAAAGGACAGCCAAAGGAATGTGCTCTGGTCAAACTCTGGCTTGTAATGATAATATTGTAGAAAACAGTGTTGGTCACAATATCAATGGATAATGAATTATACTTGTACTTTTTGTGTTTTTTTTTCTAAAATCTCACTTCTAGAAGTTCATTCCAAATGAAAGAGCAACATTAATTTGATTCTGAAACAATAAATCACTAGATGAAATGTCGTTAAATGGCTTAATGTGTGCTATTAGTTTTCTTCATTGATTTACAATGCTTTTGAAATTTCAAGTAATTAGAAAGCAGTGTGCATAGACAGTGAAATTCTGTTAATAGATCCAAGGACACCAATTTAAGCTTTTATTTGATTGAAGAAACTGGACTGAGCGGCTTTTGGTTATCGTTCATCATACTTAATAAGGGCTGTACTATATGAATATTTTTCCATCCAGGTTTCAGGAAGAAAAGTACAATCATTGTTCGGTACTGGTTATTAAATTAGTTTCCCAATTCTCTTTTTTCACTTCCTTCTAAAATTATTATAGTTATATGTAATTCCACTTTCATTTTCACCTGGAACATGACTATCCCAGAAAGCCATTAGTTAATAGTTTTCATTATCTCTGTGCTGTCTGTCTTTATGGCTTTACCTACCACTACTTCCTTGTCTAACCACGTGTTTAGTCAAACTCCTTTGTTAAAATATACCAGGAACAGTCTTTCCTCTGTCCCCGACCCACCCTATGCAAGTTTGGCATGGTCTTCCTGCTTTTGATTTCTCAAGTCTATTTTTTTAAAAGATTAAACCCAAATCCCTTAATAGAGTATTACCCTGTTCTCTTCTGTTTAGGGGCTGTTTAGAATCTCCTTCTCTTCTTTACATATGCTCCCTGAACTGGTAGCATGTAATAATGTAATAAATAATGCCACATATGACGTCACAGCATGAAGAATCTCCTCCCCCAGACAAATCCAAATATTAATAGAACATTTGAGTTTGTCAAGTGAACATTTTCTTATTTACTCATAGAACTTATTAGGAATGATTTTCTAAGAATCACATGGTGGCTCTTACATGTAACCCCCAAAGTTTCAGAAAGAGTCAAGAATATCCCCACAATTTTGAAGCTAGCCTGGCCTACATAGAGAGGTCCAGGCTAGTTAGAACTAGATTATGAGACCAAACGACATCAACAAACAAACAAAAGGAATAAGTAAAGACATATAAATTGGCTTTTATGCTTCAGTATTATTATCTTAAATACCAGATCGTAGACCAGATGAACAATTTTCTGGATAATCCAAATGTTATCTAGGCATAATATTTTCCATAACAAGAATTAACTGTGTAAATTAGAAATGCTCTTTAAATCACTTACAACAAATTCTTAATTGTATGAATCATAAAAATAAGTACACGAGTAATAAGTAGTGACCTAATGATGGTTATGATGTAGATCTCAATAGAAAGTAGCCAGTGTTTATAGTAGAAAGTAGAAAAGATAAATAAATTATGGTGCTTTGACCAATTGAAGCATCATAATTGGAAAGAGCAAAATACTTTATTCACTAGCATTTATCATCTAATCATATCAAGCTAATTACAGTGAGTCTTTCTGTTGGTTGTGTATAAAGTAACAGTTTAGATAATTTACACATAGAACATATAATAAGTGAATATTTCAGGTGACACTTTGAATTAAGTTTACCTTGGTTTACTAATACAGCTTCCTGCTTTGTTTTCCTCTGGTAGATACTTGATTCGACCAGATCCACTGTCCTACCTGCCAAACAGTGAACCCAGTAGGAAAAACAGCATCTGCAATGCCACTGTTCAAGACTCCCGGGAGGAAACTCAACTCTGATGGAAAGAAAATAAGAGACCTTATTTTCCCTATGGGGACCTTGCTTGAAATCACTAAAATGTTGTAGATGGTCCTAAGAAATGGACTGGAAGGTACTCAGTTTCTCACTTTTCTTCTATTTAAAAACAAAATCTATTCTCTCAGAAGTACAGATAATTTTGAAACTTCATGTGGTATTTATTTAAATTTCATCACTGGGAGATTCTGAAAAATGAATATAAAATACAGAAGTTGAAATCTGATATTTAACTGTTCAAGAATAATCAGAATTGTATGCATCCTATTTTAAAACATTACTAAGACTGTATGAAAACAAAGAAATCCACCTATATTCAGTGCATCACAAGGGCACTGAAGCCTGATTTTATCCTTATAATTAAATATATTAATATATTGCTTAAATTTGCTGTTTCTAAAATTGAGCCCACTAAGAATGTCTGCTTATCTCTATGTAGAGATTAACCACTAACTTCTGTGGCTGACTTCTGTCTAGGAATCATAGTTTTCTTCAGAATAGATCTTTAGAGTCATTTATGTCTGTTTTTCCATATATTATTGTGTTCATTTTAGAATCCAAGATATCCATAGCATGTTTATTATTCAGAAGACACTAAAATACAAAGAAATATTAATCACCTGGGCTTTTTGGTGACTTCATATCTAATGCACATTTTATGCCAAGAAAAGTTTACTTAAGAGAAAATATTTTTGTTCTCCTAAAAAGTACCTAATATAGAGAAAACAATACATATCTTTTCAGCTAATATGAATGTGAAAATTGGAATATCACCTGTATATATCAGATGAGCAGTGATGATTTCCATTACTGTTGGCTTTAATATATTTCATTTAGCTATATAGTAAATTTCAGTAGGAAAATGGGTCAAAGTTTAAAAGAAGAGTATTTATACATTTTATGGACCACAGGAACACTTTAAAACATTTAGCATTCTCCAAATGTCTTTGATATTAAATACTCACACTTAAAATCTGATTAATATGAAAATAATCAAACATATCTATACCTTAACATTATAAGGAAAATATCATTAACACAGATATTTCTTGTATTTTAAATTTAATATGAATTATTCAGAATTTGACAGATATATTTAATATAAATAATACTCTTGCCTTTAGTCTCTATTTTTTTCTTCATAAATACAACAAAACTCACAAGAGGATGAATACATACACAGTTTGCCAAATCAAATAGACTAATAAAGTGGTCCCATGAGAGACATATTGGTACTTTTCAAAAACAAAAATTCTGTTTTTTATCTTTTTCTTTATTATGAGCATGACACTTGCGACCTAAAATAGTCCATGTAAGAAATGAAATATTTTCTCCTTTCTTATCATCATAAAATAAATAATAGGAAAGGAAAATAAATTCTTTTAAAATATGAAGCCTAACATCCTCCCAATAGTCATACAGAAAAATAGAAGCATAAAATGTGAAATCAAATCTTCTAGCCATTTTACTGGAGAATATAGATTTTTTTTTATTACCAGTACTTTACATTACCTATAATTTAGAATGAGAAAAACATGAAGCATTCCCAAAAAACAGAGATGCTCTCTAGTTTTCAGAGAAGTTTGGTTAAAGCAAGGTACTTCAAATTGAGAGCATGCCTTAAAATGTCAACATTGTATGCAAATGTGTGTATTATAAATGTGAAATACATTTGAAAAACACCACATGATGTTAAAATTGAAAGCAGAATTGAGTTAATGTATGCAATAGATAAAACATATTGAATATACTGACTTATTTTACATTTGGATATCAGTAGTAAAGTAAGAGCTTTCTTTAGATTAACATTTTTTTATTCCATTACAGTTCTTTTAGGAATAAATGTCAGATTTTAAAAGTCTTGTATTTCCCAATGAGGTCTGAAGTTTAGTATTTTTGCATTATGACAGTTGCTAAGACTGGGATTTTAAGCTAGGATATGACTATATTTCCTATAAAACTAAAAATTTTGTTTCATAAATTTTAAAGTAATTATTTTTTGATTATGAATATTAGTCCAAATTTAATATTTGAGAGAATTAATATTGCTTGCTATAACAATGATTGTTTCTAGTCTTTCCGATTATTTGAAGAATAAATGATGCTTATTAAAGGACTTTGAACAAACTGATGTTTTTTTTAAATAATGACACTTGCACATGAAGATTAAAACATGAAGTAATCATGCTCTTAGCCCTTCGAGAATTGGTTTGGTTTATTGTCTGTGTGACATTTTGCTACCAGTTTCATTGAATTGCTTTAAAAATAGATAATAATAAAATTATTTCTGATGATAATGAAAATCCCTTAGTTTTTTTTATGGCAGAACTTTGTTTTGACAAATTATGTTTGAAACTGTTCAAGTATCTTGTCATTTTTATATATCAAACCCCAAATAAATGTGAAAGTTGCTGATTGGAAAAAATGAAAAATACTGTTGAATTACTTCTTCACACGACAGCCTGTGGATAATTACTGTGCAGGAAAAGAGAAGGGAAGAGATGTGTAGAGAAAGAAAAGAGGTACACAACAGGAAGAAAAAAAATGAAGTGATTATGGGGAGGAAATGAAACTTATTTGAGGTCCAAAAGAGAAATATACTTTACAGAAAGTGTCGGGTCCTCATATGCTTATTTATATAATCCGGAAAAATTACTACCTAAGGGAAAATTAACATGGTTTCAAACGTTGTGCGGTTCTTTCTTTCAGGCAAACACTAGACATTTTTCTTCCTATTTCTGTTGCTATGGTTCCTGGAAGACCCCTGCAGTGTAGGTAATGAGGACACAGACTTAGCCATGGGAATAGAAAGAACTAGGAGAGAACAGAGCCAACGGAGCAGTGGGTTGTAAGTTCTCTGATATTTCATGCTGTCTACCATATATCCTAACCATGATGCTCAGAAACTCAGTGGGCACAGACAGTCCCCGGAAAGGCGTGTTCTATCCTCTCTAAGGACTGGCTACTGGAGCAGTATGATGTCCCGGGATCCAGCCCACTCTGGAAGCTTTTCCAAGGGGTGTATACTTAGGACAAGGGCTATTGTAATGTACAGTGGTTATCACGTTGTGAGTCAAGGATGCCCTCAACATGGAGTGGTGGATCTTGGGAGAAGTGCTGCTGGCCAAGCATGCTTCAGAGTACCTTTCTCTAGCACCTTGGAGCAGAACTCTAGCGAATTCACCTAGTCCAGCAACGTTGTGGCTGCTTTCCCTTGTATGAGATCCCAAGTGCTGCCTTCAAATGAACCGAGCATCAATCTAAAGGCTTTTCCCCAAAACCTTTATCTTGAAGCTGTGGATACTGTTCATATACTACTTCATAGTTTTCATGTTCTCTTTGCTAGCCAATCTAATATTATTCCTGTGTTCCCTTAAGAGTTAATTATTCACCACCAGCATTTCCCCCTTGTCCTGTATAGAGATTTCTTAACTATCACAAGGAAGGAATGTTAGGAGACAAAACTTCTTCAGATAAAAAAGGTTAATTTATGTACTCAAACACTGGTTCAAAACTTGAACTCATGGATTTGACAAAACACAAACAGAAGCAATTGTGTCTGCATTATCTACCTTATCAAATGCCAGTCTGGATACTAACTAGAAGGAGGTGTTCACTCAAGCCCAGCAGAAACAAAAAAACAAAACAAAACAAAACAGTACAACATATATGGTCAGCCTAGAAAAACTAGTATTTGCAAAGCTAAGAGTAGAATGAGGGGGGAAACATACAAACAGTTAAGCTACCATGCTTTTTCTGTGCATTTCAAAGTAATTACTTACTCTACATATTTACTGGAATTAACTTTCCTCATTACTATTCTATTTTAATTTTTATATAAAATAAAATGTCATAATAAAGTTGTCAATTTTTAAAGTTACTTTTTATATAAATTGAGACTATTTTTGTAATGAATAAACCTTACGTTGAAAAAGATTAATAATATTTATATGAAATATTATTGACCTGATGCTCTAATGCTGTCAAGG